CCTATGGTTGTTTGGTATTAAATTGGTTAGAAAAACTTGTATAAGAATCATAAAAACGGACTGTGCGGTTGCGGCGCGCAAAACCGGTAAATCTGGAAAACTTGGGCAGTTCAGCATCCGAACTTTGGCTTCATTTTTCTTGATGTTACGTACGGATTCAAAAATTCCTCAAAACATGAAAGTTGTAGCCTCATAAGTCCTGAATATGCCTGTAAAATTTCAGGTCAAACGGATTAGTGTATCCTGAGTTATAGACAAAACACTCGGGCCTGTTTTAGACATTAGTTTGTGCTGCGTTTTGAAGTCAGCCTCTGACCGTGCATTTTTTCGTTTTGATAACGTACGATTTGAGTGTTGACTCCTTCATAAGAAATGTAGATCTTGATTTTAGCTTCGAAACGGTATAAAGTGCGTCGAAATCCGAGTTCCGTAACTCCTGTTATGACCAAAACAATATCGATCGTCAGAACTACCTTTGAATCTGGACAGTTCTGACGGGTACTTTGACACTCAAATTTCGTTCTGTTCTGAGTGGATTCAGGTCTTGGCCAAAACTTCAAAGTTTTAGCCTTATGTCTCAGCTTTCTAATGCCTTTGGAATTTTCTGATTTGGATTTGTGAGCTGGGAGTTACGGTCCAGCAAACATACCTTGTCCGTTACTCTAGAGTGCGAATTCCTGGAACGGTTTTCTGCACTTTCGACCTATTTCTATTTAGATCCGGATTGAGGTGTCTTCATGAAAATTATAACCCTTCCTCTTAGCTTCGCAACGGTACCTCATGTACCTTGATCCGACACTCGTAGCTTCAATTAGGCTCAAAACAGTTTTGACGGCAAAGCAATGAGGTTACCATTTCCGATTTCCGTATGCCGTTTCCGCATTCGTATGTGCCGATTTTGTTTGTTTTAAGTATGTTAGTAGCCGTTTGTGATATATTGTAACACAATCTTCTATTTCAGACGTTGGTGAGTTAGGTGGAGCCGGTGGGGCCTACTAGCTACTCCTCGTGGCACAAATTTCGAACTTTTGCTCTTTTGTTCGTTGAATAAGTATTCGACCCTCTCTTGTGTGTTAGTTGCTTATGTGTTTCGATATGTAGGAAAAGGGTACCTAGGCGAGAGTGTACTTTATCGCACTCGACCTAAATCCTAATTTGCGCACATGTTTGTACATGGCATATGTATATGAATCATTTTGGAACTAAAACCCTTGAGTTTGTGGCTCGGGGTGACTTTTGAGAAATTTTGTGAAGTTTGTGAGTTTGGGGCCCGATCTCATGACCTAGATGGACTATTCGATCCGGTTAGGGTTTGGTCGAAAACAGTCCAACCTGGTTTGAGATCACCAAGTTTGTGAATCCGGTTCACCGATTATGTGCACCAAGTTTGTGATCCGAGCTTGTGAACCAAGCTCAATTTCGTTCGCTCGAGCAAGTTTGTGAGGTGTCTGGCTAGAGAGGGTGATAAGGTGTACGGTGGGAGTACAAGTGGAGTTCTACGGACCATTATTTGTGATCGACGGAGTGTCGGCAGGAGATCATGCATGACAGATGATTTGGCTTTGGAACCACCCGTATCCTTACTATGTGATGTTATCTTTCTGCTTTTGCTTTACTCTTACCGTATAATTGGTTGATACGTGAAAATTTACGCTTTTGCCCCTGTTTACTTATTAAGCATATAGTTTACCCCTTTTCTTTTGTTTTCCTTAGCAGGGGTCGACGCGGGGAAATTGCGACGCATACACTAGTATAGTTAGGTTTGCTTGTAATAGTTTGACAATTAGAATGTTTGTTTTTGTTGTAGTGGTTTGTATAAGGACCCTCCCTAGGGTCTACTCTTTGGTCTTGGTTATAATTATAAGGATGTAATAGTATGAGTAGATACTTTTGGAAAATGTAATTAGAACACTTTGTCAACATAATCGGTGAATCGGATTTACAAACTTGGTGAACTCAAACCAAGTTGGAATGTTTTCGACCAAACCCTAACCGGCTCGAATAGTCCATCTAGGTCATGAGATCTGGCCCCAAACTCACAAATTTCACGAACTTCACAAAATTTCTCAAAAGTCACCCCGAGCCACAAGTTCAAGGGTTTTAGCTCCAAAATGATTTATATACATATGCCATATACAAACATGTGCGCAAATTAAGGTTTAGATCGAGTGCGATAAAGTACACCCTCGTCTAGGTACCCTTTTCCTACATATCGAAACACATAAGCAACTAACACACAAGAGCGGCCCGAATACTTACTCAACGAACAAAAGAGCAAAAGTTCAAAATTTGTGCCGCGAGGAGTAGCTATTAGGTCCCACCGGCTCCACTTAACTCACCAACGTCTGAAATAGAAGATTGTGTCACAATATATCACAAACGGTTACTAACATACTTAAAACAAGCAACACGGCAAAATCGGCACATACGAGTGCGGAAACGGCATACGGAAATCGGAAATGGTAACCTCATCGCTTTACCGTCAAAACTGTTTTGAGCCTAATTGAAACTACGAGTGTCGGATCAAGGTACATGAGGTACCGTTGCAAATCTAAGAGGAAGGGTTACAATTTTCATGAAGACACCTCAATCCGGATCTAAATGGAAATAGGTCGAAAGTGCAAAAAACCGTTCCAGAAATTCGCACTCTAGAGTAACGGACAAGGTATGTTTGCTGGACCGTAACTCCCAGCTCACAAATCCAAATCAGAAAATTCCAAAGGCATTAGAAAGCTGAGACATAAGGCTAAAACTTTGATGTTTTGGCCAAGACCTGAATCCACTCAGAACAGAACGAAATTTGAGTGTCAAAGTACCCGTCAGAACTGTCCATATTCAAAGGCAGTTCTGACGATCGATCTTGTTTTGGTCATAACAGGAGCTACGGAACTCGGATTTCGACGCACTTTATACCGTTTCGAAGCTAAAACCAAGATCTACATTTCTTATGAAGGAGTCAACACCCAAATCGTACGTTATCAAAACGAAAAAATGCACGGTCAGAGGCTAACTTCAAAACGCAGCACAAACTAGTGTCTAAAACAGGTTTGAGTGTTTTGTCTATAACTCAGAATACACTAATCCGTTTGACCTGAAATTTTACAGGCATATTCAGAACTTATGAGATTACAACTTTCATGTTTTGAGGAACTTCTGAATCCGTACGTAACATCAAGAAAAATGAAGCCAAAGTTCGGATGCTGAACTGCCCAAGTTTTCCAGATTTGCCGATTTTGCGCGCCGCAACCGCACAGTCCGTTTTTATGATTCTTATACAAGTTTTTCTAACCAATTTAATACCAAACAACCATAGGTATATCAGCCTAGGAGTGGTCCGAAATTCTCTCCTTATTTTACCACAAAATTACCAAACACTAACCAAAATCCCTATCCTCACTTCATATGCACTAATGAAAGTCAATTAGCTAAACCCCAACTCACTAGTCATTAGCCAAGCCAAACTAACCTAATGGAGTCTAGGGTTTCATAATCAAAATCTGATTTTACCAAAATCTAATCATACAAGAACAATCAACACACCACAAATTCCATCTACAAGTCAATTTCTCAATCAAAGCAACTAAGGAAAGCATTAAAGCAAGAAGCCTTAATTTTTTCTCTTTTGACCGAATTTCCAACAGCCACAAAACACTAAAATTAACCATGAAATTTCAATATAAACATCAAATCCACCATACAAATCCATAATCACAACAAAATACATCACTTCCATAGTTTAAAGATTAAAAACCCCAAAATTTATCTTTTAAAAAAGATGACATACCTTCAAATAAGTTTGGTGGATGATCAAATTTCAACAATCAAGTTTCTAAGTTGTTCCCTCAAGTTTCAAAAGCAAGATGAAAGGCTAGAAGATGAAGAACTTGAAGAATTTCTTTCCTTTCTTTACTCTCTCAATCTCGGCTCTCCTCTCTCTCTTTCTCTCCAAGTTTTGTTTTGTTTTGTCTTGTGATTATCTTACAATCCTAAGGTAATAAATAGTCAAAGACAATAGAAGATATTTATTAGGCTAACCAATCACATAAAAGTGCTTTATTTGCTTTGTAACCCTTGCACTTCAACTTAGCTTTTATTCTACTCTTGCCCTCAAACATTCGGTAATGTTTCAATTAACTCCATAGGTCATAATTTAATCTAGTCTAAAACATGTAATCACACTTAATTACTTTACTAATCACTCTCTTATCTTAATCACCTATACTTAAACATACTTTTTTCATAATAAAAACAATTAAACAACAACCTTTAGAACATTGACAAATTTAGGGTTTTTAAACCCATCTTAAACTTTCTAATAAATTATAACACTAGAGGTTTGCTACTCTAGGATTTGCTAACCAATTCAAACTTGCTAAATCTTTGTAAACTAAAACGAATCCTAGATTTACTTATGCCAAAACACACACTAGAACACCGAATATAAATTATAGATTGAACTTCCGAATAATACATAAACTAGGGTTTTCAATCTTAACCGAGATTAGGGTTTTCTTCTTAGCCCTAACCCTAATATCAACTTACGAACTGACCGGGGCCTCACAATTGTCTTTGACTATTTATTACCTTAGGATTGTAAGATAATCACGAGACAAAACAAAATATTTATTAGGCTAACCAATCACATAAAAGTGCTTTATTTGCTTTGTAACCCTTGCACTTCAACTTAGCTTTTATTCTACTCTTGCCCTTAACTTACGAATTGACTGGGGCCTCACAGAAGCCCTCAGATCTCATAGCTTCAATGAATCATAGACAGAATTTGACAGGTAATTCAACAGATGCCTTTTACAGATCACCGACAAAAAAATCAGCCAAGCCAAGCACCAGTGTGTGTGTATAAAATCAAGCAATTTTCCTGGAGTAATGAACATAAACAAAAAGGCAGAGCCGCCGAGGGAGGATTTTCAGCAGGGAAAAATGAGGGAAGGCTTTAGCAGCAAGTCTAACCATGGAGGCAAGGCTTCAAGATCATATCAGGAGCGGCGCAAAGGGATTGCCTGGACAGAGGTGGGTGGCGGCTAATTTTTCCGGTGAAGTGCAAAGGCAACCGTTGAATTTTAAACCCTGTCAATCCGCTCAATATTAACAATTTTTTCCATCATTGGGCAATAGAAAATTTGAGAAAAAAAAAACAATACTAATCAACAAAAAATCAAATGATAATACATTATATATAAAATCAAGCAATTTTCCCGTAGTAAAGAACATAAACAAAAGGGCGGAGCCGCCCAGGGAGGATTTTCAGCAGGGGAAAATGAGGGAAGGCTTTAGCAGCGAGGATGAACACAGGTAAATTATGTTGCAGTCGATCAAAATGTCGGCTGAACTCTTTAGGTTAGGGTTAATAACTTATAAAATTATAAAATTGCCCCTATATTTTTAATAGTTACATAATATACCCCGGATTGGGTACCAGCGGGTTTTTGCTTTTACGATCCATATCCGTATCCGAATATTTCGGGTACCCGACCCTATTTGATCGGCTGAGAGAAATCGGATTGGGTATTTTATTTTTCGGTTCGGGTCGAATCGGGTTTCTCGGCTTTTCAGGTCGGCAGGTATTTTTGCCCGCCCCTAACTTCAAGGAGTTCCAGGACGTGGTATACTATATGATAACCATAGTCATTCTCATGTTGAATGCTTATCAGATGCAGATTGGACAGGTTCTAAAATTAATCGAAAATCTACAACTAGATATTGTGTCTTTTTTGGAGATAATTTGGTGTCAGAGAAAAGTAAGAAACAAAAAAATTGTATCTTGCTCTAGTGCATAGTCTAAATACCGGTCTATGGCACAATCCACTTGTGAACTTATATGGATACATCAATTATTATGTGACGTGGAAATCAATAATTCACTTCCAATGAAGTTATGGTGTGACAATCAAGCTGCTCTTCATCTACTATCAAATCCAGTTTTTGATGAGAGAACAAAGCATATCAAAGTTGATTACCACTTTGTTCGTGAAAAAATTCAACAAAACCTGATCTCAACCAATCATGTGAGAACTAGAGAACAGTTAGCTGATATTTTCACTAAATCTCTAAGTGGTCCAAGAATTGATTATATTTGTGGCAAGATGGACATGGTTAACATCTATGCTCCATCTTGAGGAAGAGTGTTATAGATATGTGATTTGATTTGATATTCTAGATATTAGGAAGGATTAGATTGGATTAGATTTACTTTGCTTTAATTATAGTATCAAATATTAGAAGATTTGATTAGATTATAGATTGATTTAGATTAGCATGATTTTAGGATCTAAATCAGGTCACACTTGTGTATATATTTCTACATTGTATAGTCTAAAAGGATAATGAAGAAGTGTGCTTTCTCTCCTTTTTTTAGTTTTCAATCTACTAAGGCCAAAAACAAAGGATAACGAATGGAATTTACAACAATACTGGAGAAGTGTCAGATTGCACCCTTTTTCGTAGCTTTAAAAACAAGAGAAAATCTTACTACAAAATTCAGTAATTAAGCCAGTGGTCCCATCCCCCGGCATCCATAATCTTCCTATTCAAATTGCTAACGAAAAAACTTCTAATACTTACCAATAATCAGTACCCAAAAGCAAAAATAAAATCCTTCAAAAGAAGCAAACTAGAACAGTCCGTTTCATATTACTTACCAAGGCTCACCACATAGGTTGAACTGTACAGTAATTTCTTGTACAAATCTTTGTTGTTGTAATGCATTCTAGAGAGAGAGAGAGAGAGAGAGAGAGAGCGTGGGAAAAAGAGAGGGGGGGGGGATAAAGAAACCAAAAGCGTTAGTTAAAAATAACAGGAAAAAGTATAGAATAGCAGCATCCTCAGTAAACCAAACATGATATGCATGTTTGACAATTGCAATCTGTTAGATACAACTCAGCAAGCCAACAATGCTCCTTGAGCACATCTAGTGTCTCCTGAAATTTATAAGGGGTAATCCATCTATTCAGAACATTTTGAGAACCCATAGCTTACAAGAACTTAAAACATCTATTCAATGCTCTTAAAGAATTCTCCTTCCTCTCGAAAAAAAGAATGAATATATAAGGAAAGCAAAACCAGTTGAAGGAAAATGAAAAAGAAGGTGAAGAAAATAAGATAAGAAAAAAATTTTCCTGCCCATTCAATTAGCATTTGATAACTATTAGCTGCCATAACACAGCGCCAATAATCTGGTATATGTTTGCCACAGCAAATGCACAAGTCCAACCCAAGACAATAAAAAGCTTGCAGTTACAGCTCCCACCATCCCGTCCCTCCCCATCACAAAAATGAAAAATTGAATATTCTTGTAAGATGATGGAATCACATAAACAAAGAAATATAGCAGCTGTCAAAAGTTCACCCAGAAAAAGGGAAAATCAACATTTTCAAGCATACATTGGACCCCAAGTACAACAATATGACCACCAAATCCCATTTAAATGTAAAAATTTTGAACTATAATGACCAAGAAAATGGCAAATCTAAGACATGATATGCTCTAGGACATGATCCTGGAGCATCATGGTAAGACCAGCTCTTTAGTTGAAACCAAAGTAGGGAGGAATACCAGAATAAACACAGCAGCTTTTTCAGATCCGTAGCTAACAACATAACCAATATAGAGCAAGTGAAAAAAAGAAAATAAGTGCCCTAACTATTAAACTCCCAAATATAAAGTTAGCTGCATTGTATTTAGCACCTTACAGGGAGCATCTTTTCTAAATCTTTCAGAAGAATTATCATTCCTGTGTGTGTTTGTTTTTCCCAGAAGCATCAAATAAAGTTTGACACGTAACAACAACAAAGCCAGGAAAGATAATGCAAAATCAGGAAGGTGGAAAGCAAATGTTCACACAGAAAGAGTTTAATCTGAGATTTGAATAAGTACCGAAGCTGTAGCCCTTGTAGTCATGTGCTCAACAGCAACTGGGGCAAGAGTAGGCTCCATAAAAGATGAATGTGTAGGACACCGCTGTATATCAGAAATTGACCCTCCTTTCTGAAGCACATGTAAGGTGGAAGAAACATTAAATTATGTCCCATCAAATAAAACTTCCCTGCTCTCTCAGCCCAAAGAGTAAACCAATTAAACATAGATCTTAAACCAAGTCATTTATTGTTAGCAAGCAATTGACAATCACAAAGTTAACAAATACAATTGCTAGAGAATGATTGAGACAAAAGATTCATACAACGCAACTTCTAAAGTTGAGAAAACTTAGTAGTGAGTGTCGCAGATAAAGAAAGGAAAGCATAGGAGAAATGAAAAACTGAAGTAAGAACTCAAAGCTTCACAACACAACAACGATCAACACGGTAACTGCAGCGAGTGGCAGCTCCCACGCACGCGATCTAACATTGTTTCTCAGCGTTGAAACATAGCCTTTAACATAATTCACTTACCAATTAGACATATCTCGACTGATGTAGAAATAAGAAATGAACAATCGACTTTATGCACAAATATCTCCAAACACCGGGGGTCAATCCCATTGAGAAAATGTTGTTTATCACAATTACAGTTTAATTTCCCTTGACATGACAACTTGCTAACCCCAAAAACTTGTTACAAAAGTCAAAAATATAGCAACTGGTATTTTTAAAAGCTATGGGCAAGATAGATATAATATTTTTATTTAATTTAATACTATTAGAAAATAGCAGAAGCTATGGTATATGGAATCCAAGATGAGAGACAAAGCAAGCAGTCAACTAGGTAAAGATGCTTACGCTCAAGCTCAAAATCTATATCTAAATCATTCATTGTCAGCATGCACTTCATTTGGGATATTTTTTGGTCACTGCACCTTCTGGGGCAATATTGGGCTTTTGCAGCCAGATAAATAGTCCTCCTGCAAGCTGCAGTAGTAGTTTCTCATTTTATGACAGGATACAATTTTAGCTCGGTTGACCACACAGAAGCTAGGTGATAAGCTATAGAACTATCAAGATCCTTATTCATCCATGCTTCTATGTTATCATATTTTTGCAAGGTTTCCTACTATTTTTGGGACCAAGAGCATGAATATAAATTTCAGTAATCACTCTGTAATCATATAGAGTTGGTGTTACATATTCCAAAGATGTAAGACAAGCAAAATGTTCCAAAGCTGCCTGACGATGCAACAGCTAATCTTCTGAATATATACACGCAAGCAACCCCCTGAATCAGTGAGATACACATGACCCTCATATTCTAAATACAAACCATATAATGGTAGAGATGATTGCTGTAAAGTCAGTTATCCAAGTTAAATGGAAAAAAAAAAAAAACTGAATAAATAACGTCAATGACTTCTATTGCAAATTGTGACTTTTGAGTACTCTATAACATGACATAAATTAGTATTAAGATTTTCAAAACAGTAAGCATTCATATGATGCAAATTTCAATCTAAACTAGCTTTGCAAGCACTCAACACCAGAAATGGTAGATATCGAGTTTCATCCTGACTTACATTCTTGTGGAGGTAACACTCTGATAGCGACACGTAACTCCTGAATAGTAGCTTCAGGCTGTGATGCAGTCGCATGACAATAGCCAGTGTGCATAAGAACTAGAGAGAAAGGAGCATATCATGCAATCTATAATTCCCAAAATGGTCATCAGAATATCAAAACGCAAATAAAATACAAAACCACATACCAGCAACAAGATCCGAATCATCAGTGTATATATCTGTTCCCCACAGCTGGTTACCTCTTACCTGAGCATATGTAGTGTCAAGAAAATTCAATCAGTATACAATTAGATGCAAGCAAGTAGTGATAACAAAAAATCAGTCAGGAGAGATGGCAACCTCACAAAGAAAGTGGAATTAGATTAACCTGACTGACGACAAGAAAATAAGAGTAAAATCAATTAATTCACGTTTATTTGTATACATTCTGATATGTTCCATACTTTCCCTAAAGGTGATTTAATTCTTACAGTTCATGATATTAATACCCAATTTAACATTTTTCATTTTTCTAGATCTCCTACTATCAAATTGACATGCAAATTAGCATTTCGGTTTCATAACCTTTTTCATACAATAATGGAAACCATGTTAATTAAGGCACTTTTTATAGTGTCCAGCGAATCTCCAACATTATAGTCAGAATGCTGCCAGTGAACTGGTATAAAGAAGCAAAAGCAAACCTATTCAGTCCAATGGCTAGTCAAACGCCATGCTGAATAAAGTCTGCAAAGTGCAGCCAATTAAGAGCTTAAACAAACCAGAAGGTTCGTCCAAGGGAACCAAATGTGTTCCCTGATTCTTTTTTATATGTTTCTGAAAGTAGCTTTCAGTATCACAAGCTCAGAAAAGAAGTAGATCTTGTAAAGGCAATTAATATAACTCAGTAACAGAAAAGTGCCATACAAACCACTTCACAACTGTAATATCTAGTTTAAAATACCACCAGAAACAAGTACCTTTTGCTGTAGGCAATCAATTTGATACCATAATGTCTCGTAAAGCGGGAAAAAAAAAAGAGCGAACATTCCAGAGCTGAGCAACATCCTCACTCGAGATTTGTACAAATAAATTATCTAGTTAAAAGGAACCAGAGAGAGAGAGCAGTGGATACAGAGCAGATTTGATGGCTTTAGAACCAAGCAAAGGGCAGAAATGCTGCCAGAGAAGATCACCAGAATTCATAACTAAAAGAATAGCAACAAGAACCAACACAGATATTTTTGGAAAAATGCATTCTACAAAGTAAACTATAATTGCAACGACTTTTGCTCCAAGATGCCAGCTATTCCACAAGGTCTTATTTATGAAACCCAACAATAGACCTCTTCTAGTCATCAAAAGTTAAACGGGTAAAAGACCAAGGAAACTCTTAAACTATTGCTGTTGTCTACTTTTGACCCGTCATCTAAATTTTGTTTTCGATTGGCCCTTAAACAATTAAATCTGCACACTTTGAGGGCTTTCGGTGACTTAGGAATAAATTTGGCGGGATCTAAAGGACATTTTTGTTCATTCATAACTGAAGCATCGAGACCAGCATCGAAAACCCTAAAAAAGGGTAACCCTTCAATTTCTTAAGCACACCATCAGATTTTTCTCCACAAATCCTCTGAAAATCGAGTTTTACCCATAAGAAAAAAGCTTTGCACCATGCCTCACATGTGGTGTTTTTTTCTAGTCATTTAAAAGCTTCAGCTTTGCACCATGCCTCGCATGTAATTTTTTTCCAGTCATTTAAAAGCTTCACTATCAAAATCTTTTGGTAAAACTCAATTTTCAGAGGATTTGTAAAGAAAAATCTAATGGTGTGCTTAAGAAATTGAAGGGTTACCTCTTTTTAGGGTTTTTGATGCTGGTTCCGAAACTTAAATTACGAATGGACAAATATACCCTTTAAATCCAGCCAAAGTTATGCCTAAAGTCACCGAAAGTCCTTAAAGTATGCAATTTTAATTGTTCAAGGGCCAATCGGACAAAATTTAGATTAGGTTCCAAAAGCAGACAACAGCAATAGTTCAAGGGCTCCCTAGGTTTTTACTCAAAGTTAAACCTAGCCCAACTTAAACTGAATACCTCATATATGTTATCCAGTCTTTCACTTTTTGTCCACACAGAAAATTTTGGCCAAATGCAGAAATACATTTTTCATCATCTTTTCCAGTTCCTCAAGTACAGCCATTCATTTTGGAGCACACACCTCATACTTGGATTATGATGCCTACTTGACACAAAAGAGGGGTCGAAAACAACTCAAACAATCACCTGGCGGTTTGCTGCAGAAACATGCTCAGATGGTATCCAAATATCTAGAGTAGGACCATTTGAAGAACTTTCAGACATCTTATCTGCTTGAGATGCTTCATATTCTTTCCATCCTTTAGTTAGCTCTTGCACACATTCACCAACTTTATAAACACTGGTGGACAAATCAGGTTTACCTGCCATCAAGACAACTTTAATATACAAATTGTGACACAGAAGATGATAAAAAATCTAAGCCCAATGATTGAGTAATTTACACAAAGAAGACCATGAAAGTGAAAAAAGCCTATCACAATCCACTGAACGTATTCGAACAACACAGAAGGTCCAATCAAAAACTGAGGAACATAAGCACCTTAAAATTTTTAAGTCTTTGGCAAACATGTTTCAGACAGAGTCTAAAGATGCTCAGGGAATTCTTCTCATGAATTTGGAAGATGGAAACAGAGGAAAGTAAAATTGTCAAAGGTCCTTAATGCATTACCAAGTACAAATGAAGTGCCATACCAAAATCAAACCTAGTATGGCCAAAGCTCCTGACTGTTTTTCTGAGTAGATATGAAGAAGCAAGGTATCACATCTCTAAGCATACCACGAACTGCTCAGGAAGTCTTTTCTTGAATTTGGAAGATAAAAAAAGAGGAAACTAATATTGTCAAAGGTCCTTAATGTATTACCAATTCCAAATGAAGAAACATCGTACAAAAAGGAACCTAGTATGGTAAAAGGTCCTGACTGCACTGCTGAGTAAAGGTGAAGCAGCATGGTACCACATTTGTAAGCAAGCCATGAACTGAATTAATATCATCAGCATTCTCATTACCCAATAATCCATCAAAGTGTATTTGAAAAAGGTATTATAATCTGCAAGATGGGATCTTAGATGAAATCACACTGCCAGTTTGTCACCAGGGAACCTACTGGTTCACCCCTCTCTGCATCCAGGAGGGGAAAGTTTTGAACCATTAGACTCTACAAAATTAATCATTTCCCCCATGCAGCAGAGATACTCCCTCCAACCAAACTTCAATGTCTTTAAATTCCAGGTATGGGAACTAACTACTCTTTCCGTTCCGTTTTCCCCCTTCATTTTCAGAATTCACTTCCACATGGTAATTCTATATCTGTAATTTCACATGCCTGTTTCAATTCAAATTTTGTTATTTCTTCAACTACTTTTTCACAACTTAAAAAACACAGAAAATCACTACTCCAAACAATCCACATCTGACTCCAAACAATCCACATTCAAAGAAAGCATTTGAGATAAACCATTGTAAAAAGCCCGAAAATAAGTTTGACAGTAAATCTTACCATTGTTCAATATAAATTCCTGTAAATTTACTTGCTAGGAAATAATTATCAAAGCATATTCTGAATGGTTACAAACTGGGACACTTCTAAGACAATGGATGAGTTACAATCTTATACTTCCCTCATGATTTATAATTTCTGAGCCATTTTTCTATACCAAAGGTTAAAAAGTGTGATCTCAGAAGTCTGTTAAAGCAAGTCAAAAGTCTGAAAATAATAACAGTGGCTTTACAAACAATTGCCGTTCTAGATGGAAGAAATGTTGATGCTGCTTAGGAAGTAGAACATATGCATGAAAACTAGCTCCTTAGCAGCGCTAAGTGCACTGAGACTATGACAATATGGATGCTTATAATGGACGAGGATTTCACAAAACAGAGGCATGCAAAGGGGAGAGAGCTGAGAGAACAACCTGAACAACAGACACATTACAAGCGTGCACGCGGACACACATTTGTATAGGTGGCTTCATGAATGAGAGAGAGAGAGAGAGAGAGAGAGGTGCTTCCATGAGATGCTATAACAGCAGAACAAAACGTCAATCAAATCTTGATTAAATTAGTCAAACCATATCAGGCATAATCCAATTCGAGCATCTTAAGCCAGAAGGGGCACATATCAAGTATAACTTTCTATCCATTCAATACAATAGAAAATAACATCAAAAAGCCCAAAAATTTTTCATGTAAAATATCAATGCAGACTTTTTACAAGGCAAAGCAAATGTTTGTAACCTTTTCATATAACTAACTCGGTAGCCCAACACCAGCAATCTAACACGAAATTTCCTACATAGCGTCACGGAATAAATGATTCACAGAGTAAAGCATTCATTAAATTCAAGCTGAAAATATATCCAAGTATGAAGCACTTTTCTTCTGACTTGTCCCCAAACTATGAAGCACTTTTCTTCTGCATTGTCCCAAACTATGTCCCATTTACATGATAAGCCACAGTTCACATGTTCTATGTTTTGTATAGTCATCAAAGGGTCTGAAAGCATATGAAAAAGAAGTACAGATGGGCAAAGACAAAAATAGTCAAGTTATGCCAACATTTATATGCAAATACTCCTCTTCTATAAATCAACTTCTTAATTCTCTGTTGCATGAATCAACGTAACAGCTTACCTTGAGACCTGCAAAAAACAAAGGGCAAAAGGCAGTAAGTAACCTATATCTTTGAACCAATCAGTAATAAGTAACATTGTACAAGTAAACTCGAAGTCTCCTTTTCACATTAGCATGCAAACTACTATCTACTAGATGGTAGACCACTCAGAATACATAAAATTTGTCATCAGTATTAATGATAAATGCAAATCCATAGCTCCACTAACATCAAATCATTGTCACAGAAATAATTGTACGTTGCAATATTAACCTTTACTCATGCGCTGACTTGTCAAGTGTTTCCATTATGCAGTAAATAATTGAGCAAATAATCATATAAAATACAATTTTTCATTCCTTGGTACAAACTTAGTGTTGATAAAGTGGACCTCATTTAACGTGGCACTGTGCTACCTTTCCGCAATTTAACAACTCAAGTCATGCTCAAAATTTCTAAGCAAGGATTTTTCTTCTAGTTTCAGAATTCAATGGAAGGTCCAGAGAAGCTTTATCGTGGGTGGGATATATAATTCCTCAAACAGTTAATAGAGGTTATGGTACTCCATAGGTAATTATTCACCCTAGAAATTGTAACAATATGTTAGAAGCAGGTAAGGAAGTGCACGCAAAAACCAAAGGTTACAAAGGTTAATACTTTTAGTCTATCTATACCTTTTAAACAAAATCTGCATCACTAATGCAAAATATTATATCTACCACCACTTACCAAACTTTTCCCTAGCTCATCATGTCTCAGCAGTTTTTCAAGACCTTGTGAGAGGTGGCATTTATTTGATTTTACAAAATGGCATACACATAATGGACACCCTCTAGGAGACTAAAAGGTATCAGTAAATCAAGTAGGCAAATCTAAACTTGGGCCAGATTGAGTACAAGGCAACATTAAGAGTACTAGTCCTCCTACACTACAGCACTGAATAAAAAAGAAACAGACAGAAAGTCACTCTTTTGGGGAGGCGTAAAGGAGTTCAACAAACTAAAACACAGGCAATTGACACTTTTACTCAAACTGATAGAAAACTGAAGTCATTGATATAAGATTTCAAAATAATAGCCACAAGACAAATAGCTGAATATGCCATATATGCCTCAAATGGACATACTTCAAGTGCAATGACTTCAAATTGCATGTCAAAATAGCTAACTGCCAGATCAGTAGTTACAGAATTACTCAAATTTCTACCACATTTGACCATCATAATGTAAGCCTTGTTATCAGCTCTGTACAGCAACAAAAGAAAGTATTCCACAGAAATAACCTTTTTTTTTTGTCACGGGATTGAAACTACTACTATACAAGAAGAGAACATGCACAAAACCAACTTCTTCTTAAAATAGCAAGGCACATCTACTCTTATGATCAAGTGTACTAATCGACAAACAACATGGTAAGAGTGTCCATCTTATATAATACTAAGAAATATTGGTGTCATATTCATACCATTACATGCACATAAGGATCTTGAAAACAATATCAAAAGAAATTATCACAAGCTGTGAAACCATTACATATAACTTTAATTGGAGACTCTTGATCCATACTCACCCATTAAATCCACACCCTTCCATGCATTAAAACTCGTAACTTTAGCACTATATACTAGTACAAGGTATGGATCTAGGATAAATATGCATTGATTTCAACCCTCCCAACTCCATTTCCCCCTAAAATAGGAAAGCACCAGATTTTAAATTAATCAAGCATATAGTAGGCGCAGCTAAGCTTCTATTTAATAGCTATGACACATCCCAAAAGGTAGTCCAAATCAGTCTTCTGACTCTAAAGTTCAAGAAGGTTCAATTATGTTTTAAAGATAAAGTAGGAAAAAGTATTCTAAATTCCACATTCATCAAGGATTTGTGCCAAGACCAGATGCTCTCAAAAGTTAAACAAATTTCTAGATGCAGATCAACACACATACAGATGCAAAACCTAACTCTACCTGTGCTATACAACTTGACCCACAGTAAAATTGAGAAAATTAACTTACTGTTGCATCTCAGTGACAAGAGAAACGAGTAGATCAGTGAGATCTGTCCTAGATGGAAGATCTTTTGGAGGACCAATGTGCCTATCAAGGGTCATGTTTAGAATTAGGTCAGCATCAGGATCAATCAGGGAACTAGAAGGGTATTTCTCAATTTATAACATAGAATGTAATGCCGGATCTTTCAAATATTGCCATTTGGCTAACAGAGTTTCTATATCCATTCACAGCCATTGATTCTGCACAAATTCTGCACAGCCACTGCACCAGGATATTTCTCAATTTATAACATAGAATGTAACGCCGGATCTTTCAAATATTGCCATTTGGCTAACAGAGTTTCTATATCCATTCACAATTGTTGATTCTGAACAAAATTAACTGACCGATATAAATGCCAAATGGCTCATACCTATAAACCTTATGGCACTTCAAGTCACACAAAAAAGGAAAATGGGAGTCTAATAGGGTCAAGTAATTGCAATACAAATTACTTCAAACCTATACAATCAAATTCATTCACAAGTTTTTAGATGGTTACTCTTATGGGGTTCAAGCCTTCAGCAAAACGCACCATGCATACAATGCTGAAACTAATGAAGATGAAATGCAGTGTATACTGGGTGTGTGTCTCAGATTAATCCCACCCTCGCCTAACGTTGAAATGATGAATGTCAACAATCTAAAAGAATTGTTTTCCAGCCCAAACAAAAGAAGATCCTAACGATCCTGTATTCAAGAATTTCAGATTGACTTCTTTTTAATTTTCGCAAAATCAGAATCTATGTCATAAATAATGTGTTAGAATTACATAATAACATTTTTTCCTTCTATCCTTGAGCATATTCCATAAGCTTCACATGCTTATATGGTGCACTTATCCAATCCCAAGCTGTAGTAACACAGAAAACCTTTACATATGATCTATCATATAATTGAAACACATGTCAGCGGCTATTTTCTTTTGCTTGACATTATTTAGTCGCATTTAAAAGGCTGTCCTTGCTCAAAATAAGCTCATTGTAGCTTAAAAGCTTTTTTGGGGCATCCTGCTGCTTTTCACTTTTATTATTAGCTAATATTAGCTAAAACAATCTAAACTCTCAACCACACTTTCATTTTCTTTTGCTTACATCTTTAGCTTTTCAAGCTTTTCTGACAAACAAATTCTTGGAATTGGGATTCTCTTAACAGTCTTTCAAGACATAATTTCTGAGCAAATTTAGAAAAGCTAAAGAAAACTATAGAGTTACAGAGGAAAACAATAGGTGTATGATAGGATACATGGTCAAACACTGCACTCAAACCCAATCAATAAAGCTAGGCAGGCGAGTCAAATGGATTAAAAAACTCAATCAAGTGATGAATGAGTCCAGTTCGTCATATCCTGAGCCTCTTTTCCCGCAGACACTAGACAAGCTGTGACATGACACCCAAGTATGACTAATTTGGCTTTGGAAGGGAAGCGCCTAGCAAAGTTACTACCTGTATCACATGAAATTTGACAATACTATGCACTCTACAATAGTAAAAGCTACATTTAAAGTTTGTATATCACAAAAATACGTTACTTATGGTTAACATAGAATTAAGTTTTAAACAATTTGATACAATCAATCACTACAAGGAAATTTCTTAATGAGATAATCAATTTTGAATTAAAACCCAATGTCAGTGAGATTTCTGAAATTCTTTTTCCTGATTTGTTTTACCTAATTTGGTCAAGTTAAAATGAGTTATATGACTGGCATTTCATTTTGAAGTTGTTCTCCTTTATTAGTCTTAAGTAGACACGTAACAGCACCAATTCTGATATTGGCCATTTATCATGTTGTTGAATAGAAAATCTTGTTTCCACCAGAGACTTTTTTTTTAAAGCACCTATAGTTATTTCTAGAGTCATTTTGTTCTTGTGAAAAAATTTTAGTTGCAATATAATGCAACAATACCAAGCTTTCAAAATGCAATATATCTGCCTTACCATATCTATAGTTTGTGATAGATAATACATAAACCAATGACATGTTGGTGAGCTCTAACACAATCCACTGTTGTGCTATTTGGTATCCAGAAATTATGTTGAGGCCCTTTATGAAATGCCACTTGTCCACAATGATTATAACATGCTAACTGCTGACAGAAAAAAGTACCGCTTGTTAGACACAAAGGTGAACCTATTATGAACAAACTTGAATGGGCGAAAGAAGTGAGCAATCCTCTTTTTGATTCTTAAATGTCTCACTCGCTCACTTACTCTGATTTTCTTTCTTTTAAGCACTCATATACCAGTTCTTTTATTCTTCATAAAAAATGGCAATTCCTTTTTGAAATTCTATCATGTGGTTCACAAGATAATAAACCTAGTAATCGCATGCTCACCTATAACTTTGAATATGGAATTACAAGTATAATGTAGGAGACATGCATGATCAATGTGCAAGCACACTTAACTTTCATGTTGTTCAATATCTCCATTTCATTACATTCTTTTTCTGGCATTTAGTATTTAATCTAAACACCAGTTCAGATATGATCCGAGATTATGCACGTGTATGCAAAAGATTTTCCCTTGCACTCTTTTTCATAAAATCCTCAAACTTCAGTATTTCTAGTTTCCCAAGACACTTGGAGAAACTTCCATGAAGGAACCACATTAAAATGCATTTCCCTTTTAAATAACACCCTTCATCCTGAGTCGTCAATACAAAGATTAAGAAAAACCCAGATCTACAAGAAAGATCTTGTTCTTCTTTAGCACCTAAATACTCGCAACAGATCAAAGTACACCCTTATATATTAGGCATGTAATCATTGTAACTTATTTTAAAATTTTCAAATAAAAAAGAATAAATTAAATAACCATGACAAGTGGCATTTAGCAACAATTAAAAGATTGTTGATATGTAAATTATTAAAAGTATAAGAGTAATAACCAAAACCAGGGAAAAAAAAAAGCTTCGGTAAGTCACGACCTGAAGTATCAAAATATCCCAAAACATGCATCTAAAGAAACAAAGCATGGTATATTGTCATCTCCAAGTAAATAATAGGCATCCACACAACTATTTTGAAATCCATACCCTTCATTATCTTGATTGTGAGACCTAAAACAAGGATCACGATGAGTACGTTGAGGACTACCCCTTGGCCTAAGCATCCTCTTACACTGCTGAACTCCATATTAAAAACTTCTCTCTCCCTTTCTGCACCTCCTTCATCTTCACCACATCCTTCGTCTGACTCCTTGTCATGATTCTTATTGAGTTTGTCATACCTTTCGCCTTCCTCCTCTGCATCTCTTTCCTTTTTCATCTTTCTAGGATCCCTGTCAACATTTTTCCAACTATCATTATCCTTTTATTTCTTTAATTCTGATGTTAGATTCTCTTGCTCTGCAGCTCTGCTGGGGATGTCTTAACATTTCCTTATCACTGCGAGGACTTTCTTTTTCAGATCCATTCCCCGATTCCTTTTTCATAAAATCGTTTTCTCTTTCATTTACTTTCTCCTTTTCTCTCAAAAGATCTATCCTCTCCTTTTCCAACCTCTCAGCTTCTCTCTCTTCCCGCATTGGCTCTTTGTTTTCACTAATGCTATTGCTGCACAACTGCAAAGTGTTTCGCCAGTCATTTCTTTCTTTATCCCTTTCTCCCCAGTCCCTTTGTTTTACCTCTTTCCTTTTCATATCTCTCTCTTTCAACTTATCCTTCCCTTTAAAATCAACCTTGTTCTCTGCAACAGCCTCACATGCTTCAGCATACTCCATCTCCTCCACATTTGTGGATTCCTTTATGCCCTCAACTGGGCCATGCAAATTGGATCGTGATGCTTTCCATGGATCCACATTCCCTCCAGAGGCATCAGATACCTTTTGCCCGTGTTGTTAATTTGCATTTTTCCAGTTCGGATGGTTGCTTGCCCCACCATTTATGTCAGCTCTGTGTTCTGGATATGTTTCCCTTTCATGCTTGGTTGCTTTATTGTCATCTCCTCTGCTGTCAAACTTCACATCCTTATCAAGCCTACTGCCTATATGTAACTCCCTTTGCTCAACATTACTTTCACAGTTCTCAAATTTAGGGTCCTTAGTTCCATCCTTGGTATCTCAAAATTCCAACCTGCTTTCAAAACCTGAAGGGTGATCCGAATAAAAGTCATTTGAAGATGATGGCACTCGGTACATTGGAAGCAAAGGTGATCTTCTATCTGCATCATGAGATTCAGTCCCAGGAGGCTTAGGCATCCAAGCATCCTGCCCTATGTCATAATGACTATGGTAATCACCCAAGGTTGAAGACTCCAGTCTACCCATCACACCAGGGAACGTGCTGGAATCCTCATGCTGGAACTTTGGAGCAGAGCACTTCCATGACTGCCACTAATACCACCACTTCCATTTCCGCCCTCCTCATGCGACCTTTTATTAGGCAGAGCTCTCATGTTCTTGCTGTTCCAAAAAGCAAAGCTATAAAAATGTAGAACTTGTTATCATTTGCTGGTCAGCACCTGCAAAAGAATAATTTAAAGTTTTCCAATTTACAAAGCACAAAATAACTAGATCTTCAGCCGGGGCCAATTTGGCAAGACTTATGATAGCATTCCAAATCCAAATGCCATGCTATTTGTTACCTTGCAGTAACCCGGATGAGAATAGCATTTGCACATGTTAAACACTTCTAAAAGTTTACATTTTAAAAAAGAAGCCAGTCAAGCTTTCCTAGCTTCTCTAACAACGCATCCTCTAAAATACGCTACTTGCATACCCTAGTTTTTCTTGTAAAAATTTTTACCAAATCGGACCTTGCAAATAACACAATCATACCGATAGGCAAAAAGTAAGAATATCGTTTTGTATATCCTTAACAAGAATCAGGTCAAGAAAACTGCACAGCACAATCAACAACCGGACAACTTAATTCTTGTGAACCCTCAAAACCAAAGTTCTAAATACTCCCTAGGTTACATAAATATTTTACAACAATTCCATCAACAAATGGAAAAAAATCACTACAAATAGTAAATTGAAGATTCAAATGCGACAGAAAATTCTCAACCGTACAGTCTTTTCCAGACTTCGGGATTCAATCTTTGTTAACCAAATTCAAAACCTTCCCAGGTATAAACAGAAAAAACCCGAATTCACAGTAAAAACTCAAATTCAACTACCTATCTCTAAAAGTAACATCGAAATAATCCAGAAAAGGGAAATCAAATTACCACATTCATTTATGTTAAGAAGAAAGCCCCCCAAAATTTTCAAATAACAAAAGAGGAAAAAAAATGAAAGAACAACTACAAAAAAAAAAGGCATTTGACACCAAAAAGCTTTCCAGCGCAAAAAAAAATTCACCTGATACAATCAAAACGTGCGGAACTGTGTGTTTTATGGTGTGCGCGTGTGTGCTCCATCCAGTGCAAAATTCACCCAATTAATACATCAGCATAGAGTTCAGAGCAGAAATTAACCGAAATACAGGTGAAATTAATCGAAATTTTAGGGAATTTTTCTTGAATTACCTCTCAGTTCTGCAGCTTTTCTTCCTCTCTCTCTCTCTCCGCCAGGGAGAAATAAGGGAAGCGCTGAAGAGTGAGTTTTGAGACTTTGGGTTTCCGTTTCGTATTTTTTGTTTTTGGCTCTTGCAATCTGAGATTTTTTTAACGTGCGGTAGAACCAGTCCAATTGACAATTCGCGATTTAATTATATGGCTTGATTGGAATGGAAATTATGTGGAATTCTTTTCTCCTTGTTAATTAGTTTAACTTTTAATTTAACCCGAATAGTAAAGGACTTATAGCGATACGGGGTGGTAACAATATGAACTATGTGACCCGAGAAAGCTTGGGAGTAGACGAAGAAAGAGAAAAGAAGAAAAGAGAAAAGATGCGTATTTTGATTGGGAGTTCAATGAAAGAAAAGAAAAGAAATATCTTTCCCTTATTTGAGAGTTGGAGATATAGAAAAAAAGGATTTTATGACAAATACGTAAAGTTGCAAAGAACAACTTTAAGATATATTGAAAATAATAAATTTTTGTATCAGCTTTTAAAGGATGAAATTGTCATATTAAAAATATCTTTTGGCGCCCAACAAGTTTTAGTCCTTTTCTTTTCAATCTTGGACGGAAAAATTTTCATCAATTAGAGAGAGTTCTATCCGTTCATTTCGTTTCTCTTTCCTCCTTGTTAAAACTCCCAAAGGAATGACATGGTACGGCTTTCTCCCAGGATACTTTTTTTTTGTCCTTTTCTCTCGATCCAAATGAAGCCTAAACCTCTATATCTAAACTGATTGACAATTCTGGAATTAATTATATCGTTCGATTGAAAAGGAAAATACGTGGAATTTCTTTCTTCTTGTTAGTTATTTGTTTTTAATTTGATCCAAAGAGAAAAGGATGTATAATGACGAGGGGTGGTAGTCATATGAAATATGGGACCAAGTAATGAGACTAAATCAGTATAACTGATTCGCTTGGCAATTCTCAATTTAATTATAGGTTCAATTGGAAGAGAAATATGTGGTATTTGCTGTTAGTTTGATCCGAATAGGAAAGGATATATAATAATGAGAGGTGGTAGTTGGACGAAATATGAAATCAAGCAAGTAAACCGAATTAGTAGGACTGGTTTCATTAACAATTCTTAATGTTCTTCGTATGGTACAATCTGAGGGAGACCTATATAGACTTTTACTTCTTGTTAATTTGATTAGATTTTAATTTGAAGAGAAATTGAATTATAGTGAAGGATTAAATTGGTAGGATTGGGCATATTGGTAATTCTGGATTTGTTCACATGGTTCAATGTGAAAGAAAAAATATTTAGAATTTTATTCTTCTTGTTACTTAGTTTAGCATCTAGTAGCCAAGTGGGGTGGTAGTAGTACGAATGATAAAGCCAAGCATTCATATCAAACTGGTACGATCAATTATGTTGCCAAGTCTCGAGAGTTTTATTTTTTGTTCTTGTTATTTTTTATATTTTTATTTTCCAAAAATTCCATTTTCATTGAAAATCTCTTTCACCTCTAATTATCGCTAATCTTTCAATAATTTGTAAAAAAACTCTTTCTCTAAAACAAAGAAATCAAGAAAAGGTTTGTGGTTCAATTGGAAAGAAAAATATAAGAAAATTTTCTTTTTTTCTAATTTGTGTAGCTTTAAAACTCTCACAAATTAGCTTTTAAAATAATTTGTGTAGTTTTTTTCTAATTTGTTTAGCTTTTAAAGATCTTTGTTATTCCATTTGTTCTTTTTTTCTATTTTTGTTTAGAAGATCTTAGCTAACTTTCTTTAAAACTCTCACACTTTGAAAATATTTTCTTTTACGTATTTCAAAATTAAAATTAACATATATTGTTTAACTTTCTACAATAAACTAAAATAAAAGTTTTGATATTTTATATCTTCATTTAATGGGATGGATTTTTGCTTTTTAAAAAACTTTGCAAGGACAATTTTGCCATCCTCCAAAAGCTTTTGAGAATATATTGTTATGTAGGACAAGCCTGTATTAGATGACATAGAACTTGAAAAAAATGTTGCAGTATTTTTTTCTTCTCTCAAGAATTGTCCATCCAATTGAACTATCATTTTTATGTCCTAAAAATGTTTTTAAACACGTCAAAAGCAAGATTGGTCAAGAGAAATTGGTGATATAACACATACATAAAAACAAAAATACAAGATACATAAACTCAACAAATACACAAAAACAAGTAAAATATCTAGATTAATAAACTCATTCGTAGCATCGATATTGAATCGAATCTTCCACAATAGCGACTCCAAAAACTTGAAGAGATTTTTTCTTCTCTTCAAATTTTAAAAATCTAAACACCTCATTTTCTACAAGTATACAGATCATTTACCAAGTATAGAATATATTAGATGTCGATCCCATAGAAAAGATAGTCAATTACCATGGTTTTTGAATTCCTTTATTAGTTAGACTATCACAAATACAAGAAATTAATTTTACCTACAAACATAAAATAAAAGTAGTAAAAATAATAATAGGAAGTTCCTAGGGTCATGGATTTCCTAACTATTCTTACAAGTGAAATTACTTGTTAAATGAATGTTGTTACCTTGGTTAGTTATGGCATGATTTTCTAAAACATGTCAAAACCCATTTTTACCAGTGAATCAACCATATTTATAACTATTTCATATCTACTTTCGTAGCTATGAAGCTAACTATAGTATCATTTACTTCTATGAAATTATATGGAACAAGTCATCAAAATCACAAAAGTGTATCTCTACTTTCGTGAGTATCCTCCTTATGTTTAACACTTCCTTAAACTAGTATCAAATCCCAATTTTTATTGATAACTTAACACCTTAAGATTATCATAATTAATAGCTAATTAATCATGATTATAAAAGCAAAAAGTGCTAGATAACTAGTTCAAAATAATAGCATCAAATAATCAATTAAACATCGCAAATAAGATATAGAAAGTTCATTCATAACTCTAGACATAAGTTTTAAAAGCACATAATGGAAATAAAGTACAAACTTGTATAATAATCAAACTTAGAATCAATTACAAAAGGTAAAGAGTTGGAAAGGAAAAGTAACCCTTATCACATGAGCATTCCTCCTCGCCTTCATCACTCTCCAACTTCATCCTTGTTTAGTTTCATACAAGAATGGATGAACTACTAAATCCAAACTAACTTACACTAGCCTAAACTAAGAAAATATGAGAACTACATTTTTGTGATAAAGTCTTGACTCTCTAAAAGTTCCTTAATGAGAAGTCTTTAAGCCTCTTTACTTGTGTTTTTCTTTTAGTGTGAACATTTGATAAAAGTTGGCTTCAAAAGTCAAGAATTTCCAATAGAATCAAGAAGATTTGAAGTGACAAAAGGTGTTTCTTGCTGATGCTTGTACTCTCCTTAATGGTAAAGCTTCTATTTATAAAGAAGTTTTTAAGCCCTTTTACTTGTGTTTTTCTTTTAGTGTGAATATTTGATAAAAGTTAGCTGCAAAAGTCAACAATTTCCAATAGAATCAAGAAGATTTGAAGTGATGAAAGGTGTTTTTTGTTGATGCTTGAACTCTCTTTTTAGCCACTACAATGTCTTGTCAATACTTAAAGCACGTGGAAAAAGTATCTCACAAGAAACCAAGTTGCACAAGTTGTGTAAGTGGCTCAGATAATACAGTTGGATATTTAGCCTTAGAACCGACTCATGCTGTTAAGGTTACAGGGCTAGTTGTTTGTCGTGTTTCACGACAACTTTAGCCAATAGTCTGCCATGTAACCCGTCCAGTAGCCAGTCTTGCCTCTTGGGTTGTTGGGCCAGTTACCTTCTCCTGCATCTCTCTTTGACAATTTTCTCGTTTCTTTGCTTGACTTGGCAACCGCTATTTGTTCAAATATTTTGCCCCTTTCCCCACAAAACAACTAAATTAAACACATAAAAAGAGACAAAAGTTATATCATTAATCAACAATATTCACGCATCAACTTTTAATCGCCACAAACGCTTCCCTTCTTGATTTCAAGCAAAAAGAGCTTAAAAGTCCTCAAATATAAATTAAGCATTTTTCAGTAACTACATTTTGACCTCAATGGTTCTTCACTAAATCCTTCTATGAACACTTGATCTTCACTATACAGCGCTAAAACACTCAACACATCTATGCTGGTGGCAAGAAATCAAAACTTAGGGTTTGAGGTTTGGGGGAAACCAAAGTTGCGGTTGAAGTTAGGCTTAACTTGAGTTAATAATGCCTTCTATGTCTAATTTTTTAGTTCCATGTACACATTCTTTGTGGTGGCTACTTGCATCCATGTCTTTAATAATATAATTACTAAGGTTTTGGTGTTTTTGGTATAGAATTTGTATTGTACTTAAGGCCAAAACTTGAGCTTGGTAGTAGCTAGCTACTGCTATAGGGGCTTGGCCGTGGAAATGTGTTTTTGTTGTTGAATTGTATATTGTTTGCTAATGATATTTGCCCTTGCTGTTCCTTTGACAAATGCTAAAGTCGAAATACCATAGTTCAATTGTTTAAGTCTGAAATCAATGCTAATACTACGGTATGCATGTTGTTTTTTGAATTAGAAATACTATTTTTATGTGATAGTAGGTCCTCTATTCTTTGGGTAGTTTTGCTAATCCTATTTTTATTGTTCTTTAGTTTAGGACTTTGTTGTTGATAAGTGCACATTTTACGTGTTTTAAGTGTGTTTTATTAATTAGTTTTGGTGTATTTTAACTACTTTTATAACTAATTAACTAGGATTCTAATGAAAATATACATTTTATGGTTTACGTAGTGTAGACACCAAAAAATTTAGTTTCATTTATTTTATTTTATGTTATTTTTATTATTATTTTTTTTTGTTTCTTTTTCCTACCTTTTAAAGAAAATCATCCCAAATTCATTTTTAGAAAAGGCATTAGAAAGAAAGAAAAAGAAAGGCAAAAAAGAAAAGGAAAATCAATTGAAACTAGTTTTTGTTAAAAAAAAAAATTCACCCACGGGCGTGTGCAACGCACGTATTCTACGAAGCAGGAAGCTAGTTCCAGCTGGCAATTTTTTTGATCCATTTTTAGCTCATTTTCGCTCTCATTTTTGTTACCTTACACGTCTAAACAAGTACTAAGTATCTAATCTTTTATTTTGACACTTGGAAGATTGATCAAATGGCTC